TCCTTCCTTCTTGTCTTAGTCTATCAGATCTCATCAGGAGCGGCTGCATTGTCCTCTTCTGTGGCCTGGTAAGGCTGCTCCCCCCTCAGGGGGAGGTGATCAAAGAGCAGGCCAATCATATTATAGTCATTCTTGATGTGAAATATTGGCACTTTAGAGCCACTGAGATGGCTCAGGTGGCAGAAATGCTTGCTGTGCAAAACTGATGACCTGAGTTCAGTCCCTGGTACCTGTGGTGGAAGGAGAGGATTTCTTCTACAATGACCTTCATGTTCCTGATGTCTCACACACACACACACACACACACACACACACACACACACACACACACACACGCACACACACACACACACACATTTTTTTAAAAGTTACCACCAAAAACCATACCATTTTTAGAGTACATTTATCTTTGTTTCGTTCCTGTTGCTGTGACAGAATCATCTCACAAAAGTGACCTAAAGGATGGTTTTGGGCTCACAGTTCAGGGTACCCCCGTGCTGCTGGGAAAGTGAAAGCAGAAGGAACTTGAAGGAACTGGACACATCTCATCCATTTTGGAGAAGCAGGGAGGGAGGGATGCTTGTTAGCAAGAACCGTTTGCTTTTCTCTGTTTTATAGAATCCAGGGTATCTTCAAAGGGCTTCATCCTGATTGCAGTTAGGATGGCTCCTCCCACATCAATTAGTATAATCTATATAATTTCTCACAGACATTCTCAGAAAATAATGTTAATCCAGACAGCCCCTCACAGGAATGCCTTGGAGCCTTGTCTCCTAGGTGATGCTAGATTCTGTCAAGCTGACAGTCAATGCTAGTCATCACAAAGCTTTGTATAGTGAGTACATTTATTTGTCCAAACTTAGTTTTAATTTATATTACAGTGATAAATTATGAAAACAAAATTGTCACTCCTCCAAACACCGAAGAGTGCTGTCAGCCCTGAGTGCTATCAGTCTGTCACTGTGAAGTTGTGTGTCCTTACCTTCTTGTCTGGACCGTTTCAGAGAGATTCTGGAGCTCCTTTCTGGAGATCTCCCCCACTCGCACATCCAGTCACATTGCCGCTGCCCAGGCAGCCATCCCCGTCTCCACCCCTCGGCTCAGCAGTACTGCATTCCAAATGGTGCAGAAGACCGGCCTTACCATCAAGTGTCACGGCTGAATCCCGAAGCCCATCCTCTATCCTTCATCAATGATGATAACATTGCTACTTCATGGATTTCCCATGTGTTTACAAACATTACACAGCTCAACCAAGGACTGGTTATTTCTGTAGACTTGGAAAATGGACAGTACCAGGTAATCGGAGAAGGGGATGGGTGTGTGTGTGTGCTCTAGCTACCACAGTTGAATGGCTGAAAAGTTCATGTTTTCGAGAAATGTGCTCTCTCACAGTCCCGAGGGCTCACAATATGCAGTCAAGGTGTTGGCAGGGTCACACTCCCTCCAGAGACTTTGGCAGGAAATGGTCGTGCTGGCCTCTTTCAGCTTCCGGTGACATCTGTTCATTCATGGGCCGGGGACTCCAAGTTCTACCCTTGTTTGCACAAAGGCCCCCTCCTCAGATCATGCTAACTTTCCCCTCTCCTCTCTAAGTGGCGTGATCTTATTTTAAGCTTTATTACATCTGCAATGTCTCTTTCTAAGACCATGTTCACAGGCCCCTCTAGTTTAATGGACATAGTCAGTTGGATGCACAATTTAACTTATTGTGTAGCAAAAACTGGAGTTGTAATGAATGAAATCACATTATCTAAAACTCACATCCTACGTTCAGGGTTTAGAGAATGATATTAAAATGGAATTTATTAAATATTTGGACCTTTTTATTAAGAACATACATTAATAGAGCAGGTGTTTATTTATATGTACTTTATATACTTAATGGGGGTCATTTTCTTTGTTCATAGCTTTAGAACGAATATAACAGATTCACTGTAATTTACAAAATCAATGCAGATGGGAAGAAATATGTAATTATAAAACGCATTGCCTTTACTGTAGGCCAGAAGTTTCTAGATGTTCTTTAAACTGTCCATCACAATAATTAGGAAGAAATGAACTTTTAGATTCCAGTATGAAGTCTCAGTGTTTTGGGCTTCTTTCTGATCTTTTCTACTTAGCCATCCATATCACCCACAGGTGTTTCTCATCATCATCCAGTTCTCCAGCCCACAGCCTATGGCGATAAGGATCCAGAGGAAGAAGGAGGACAGCTCTCCCTGGGAGGACTGGCAGTATTTTGCTAGAGATTGCAGTGTTTGGGGAATGAAAAACGATGGTGACTTGGAAAACCCCGATTCTGTCAACTGCCTTCAGTTTTCTGAGTATGAACATTCTAAAACCAATTAATTTTAATAAACTCGTGCCTTAGTGCTAATCTGTGGACCAGCCAGCCACCTTGGATGGAAGAAATCTCTCTCTATCATTGGCTTTAGGAAAGTTAGGTGACCCCATCTCCTCAAGCTGAGCTTTAAACTGCTTACAGCTCCTGTAAGGGGCAGGAGAATTCAGGTTTACCATCCACAGCTGTCCTCTGATACAGTGTTCATCTTACTAGCCAGCCATCTGTAGCCGCATTCTTGTCTTCTCGTCTGCCCCTCTGTGATGAGCCCACTTTACTGATACATGGAATAAATGGAATATTGTTTCCCCAGACCAAAGAACTTAAGGATTTACTGACACTGTTTAGAAATAAACCAAGCTTGTTATTTTTATTTGATCAAAACTATGAATAGATTTTTAAAATCAATCTTTCCTTGACAGTTTTACCTTGTTTTCCCATGGTAATGTCACATTTGACCTCCTGACACCTGGACAGAAGCGTCGTCCTGGGTACAATGACTTTTACGGTAGCTCAGTGCTGCAAGAATTCATGAAAGCCACTCAAATCAGACTGCACTTCCGCGGGCAGCACCATCCAGCTGGGCGCACCGTTGACCCGAGACACAGATACTATGCAGTGGATGAAATCTTCATCAGCGGGAGGTAGCTTTCATTCCTTCCGTTCTGAATGCAGTGTGACTTTCACTACGAATTTTTTCTCAAATGATAGGTTTGTTATACATATTTTAAAAAATGTAGTAGCTTCATTTGTTGAGATGTTGCAGCAAGATAGATTCTTATCTTTGTATTATAAAATAATTTGTTCTTCTATAATTTTCCAGGGAGATTTTCATCTAATGCCTTCCCTGCACTTTATGTGGCCTTGTTATCAGTGAGTTTTCAGGAGATAGTTCTTTCAGAAAACACAGTATTCTCAAGGTTCAGAATGCATATAGTTTAGCAGTTGAGTAAGCTTAATCTTCAGACTGTTTTTTTTAAAGTATAATAGTCTAAATATGATCCAGACAGAATTTATCATATATTTTACATAGTTTGTTTTAAAATATAACTTTTAAATATTCCCTATATTAAAAAGAAGCAAAATTTTACATAGTTTGTTTTAGAATTTAATTTTTACATATTCCCTCTACTAAAAAGAAACAAAATTTGGGTTGTAGTTATAGTAGCAGATAGTTTATAAGTAGTCCTAGTTCATAGTTCAACATTCCAAAAGGTCATCTCTTTATCATCATCAGAAAGATATATTTTGACTTTAATTGTTGATAAATTTACCATGCAATATGACTCACAAAGAAAACATAATAGTTTCTAATCCAGGCAGAATACTGTCTTGTATGGCAAATTACATACAGAATACACTTGAAATGGATTGTTCAAGAAAAATAGTATATCTTGAAGGTTTAATTAGACCCCAAAGAATACCCCAAAACTAACATTTATTTGCTATATAATAATAGCAATATATTGTATTATTGTATTATTATATTACAATATATTGTAATAGAATAATAAAAGAAATACTAATAAATAACAGTATTTTCTGTATCATTTTGAAACAACAAAAATTGAAATTCACAATTTCTTAAGTATAGCTTGAATGATGTCAGCAAATGTCTTCCTGTGACAAATCCCATACAGTTGGAGGGAGTCCCTGTATACCATCTCACTTCCCTGTCCAAAGAGTCTTGACAGTTAGTTACCTTCTGAATCACTGAGCCTGTAGCAACGCGACTGAAGGAGCCAGGTTTGCCGTTCTCAAGTGGGTCACGTGTATGAACACAGACTCTGGGCCGCGTTGACAGTGACTTGCTTTCTGAGGTGTGTGGGGTGCTCTCATTCACAGATGCCAATGCCATGGACATGCCGAGACCTGCGACACGACCAGGACACCCTATAGGTGCCTCTGCTCTCCGCACAGCTTCACTGAAGGGCATCAGGTGTGTTCCTTCATCCCACAAATCTAAAAGGAAAATGGAAGGGTAAATATAAGTGAATAGAAACTTAATTTTGGCCCAGCTTCAGGTTTTATTTAAATGGATAAGAACTTAAAATATCAGCTTTTTAAAAAATATATATATTATTGTAGAGAATATATCTATTGTTAAACTTGAAAGTTTTGTGTTTAAAACTAATCTCCCAGGAACTGTCTCTGAAATGAAACCCTAAGGCCTTTTTCTTCCCCTTTCTGTCTCTTTCTTGGTTTATCCCCATTGTATGTTAACTACAGAGCATCTAAATTGTCTTGATAGAATTATGCTAAATAATTAAGGCTTCAGTTTTCTCCCCTGAAAACTTTGTTTTGAGACAGGATCTTTATTGAGGGCTATGGCTAGCCATAAGCTTAGTATGCAGTCCAGGTAGGATTTGAACGCATGATCTTCTTGCTTCGGTATCTTAGTTTGGTATTACAGGCCTGCATTACCAACCTGGCAATAAAGAAGATTATTTTTAATAAGTTTCCTTCTATAGCTTATAATACTGTTTCCAAAATTTGTTAAATTATATTGACAACTTATTCTTTATTGAGTCATCACCATGCGTGCACATGTGCCATAGACACACACACGACACACACATCTATCTCTCCCCCTCCCCACTAATCTAAAAGCTTCTCTGGACGGATTGCGCGAGGTACATGAATCGAATCTAGCTGGTACCCACAGGCTAAGCTCTACCTTGGTGCGTTCTTTCTCCCGATGTGCAGAGAAACACTTCCTACCAACACGACATCACTCAGTTTCCCTGCCTGAAGTTACATGATAAAATCTGTCTCAGCCTCCCTCCCCCTGCTCTTCTTTCTTACACCCTTTTTCATTTTATTCTTTCTAATTGCTCACAGTGATGTGTTTGATAGTTTATGATTCTTGTATGATTTCATGCCTCTCTTTAAAAATAGAGGCATTAAATGAATCAAGGTTGATGATTGGTTTTGGAGTCAAGTTGGGATTGCTGGGCATGGACCCAGGTGGTGCCTGCTGGGTTCAGAGCTGGTGCATCAATTAGCTACAGTTTAGGATGGGAATATATTTCAGTTCTTCTTATGTAGACAGCATCTTTGGAAAACATGAAAAGGTAGACCATGTAATTTTTCTCTTGGTCCTATTTTGATAATTTTTAAATTTTGTTATAGATTTAAGAATGCTGCATATGCAATTCGCTTAGAAAAGTTTGCCAAATGCTGCTGAAAGAAAGATGTCAGTAAACTATTAAGCTGTGTTCAAATCACCTAACCACAACCTTCTCATGATCTCCTTTTTAAAATGTTTTGATTTAATCCATTCATCTCCTGTGGGATGCCATTCTCTCTTTAAAGGCCTGGAAAAGGACCAGGAGGGTTGTCTTCCAGTTCACAGTGTAGGGTAACCATTAAGGGTAGTCCTCAGTAAGCAGGGCTTTTGTGAATTGTTGCCTTTTGGCAAATCAGTGAGCATATAAGCCTTGAGAGCATGCCAGTTCTGGGCATTTCTTTCTCTTTTTTTTTTCTTTCTTTTTTTTTTTTCTGTGAGAAAGTGTTCAACAGAAGGGGAAGGGGGTGTGCTGGAGAGGAGGGTGAGATGCATGAACTCAGGCACCACCTTGCAGGGCCTCTGCCTATATATTCTTCAGTTGCTCGTAGAGTCAGAGCGTGGTCTAAGGGTGGAAACAGTGTGTATACAGGTCTGAAATTCTTTTCAGATAAAATTTTCATTCCTCAGGAGATAGTTGCTACTGTGTTTGTCTTCTGCAAGAACTGCTTGAGGGAGAGTAGCAGTGACCCCAGGTAAAGAAATTCCTTGATCTTGTTTTGTGACTGCACTTTCTACCACCTATAGTCTTGAACCTGGGTGACTTCCAGGAAGTCAGCGTCTGGTCTTTTGTGCTTTGGAGACCTATATAAAATGTGCTGATAGACTGATAGGCTGACAGACTACAAGATTTATTATTCAGAGTACAGTCAACAGGAGGTCTATTGCTGCCAATGCTAATTTGTATGTTTCAACCTTTCAAAAAAAAAAACAGAAATTAAGACTGAAAATCCACTTAACTTAATACTAAAGACTGTGCTTGCCCTCAAATGAATTAAATCTGGACTTCTCTGTTATTCCATTATAATTTTTAACAGGTAGAATGTGGGCCTTGGGAGGGGGCTCCCTGGCTGCCCTCAATATTTCTGAGGAACTCTTATATATTTTGGCATTATATTGGCAATTTAAGTTCTTGACTTTAACGTATGATATATACAGTAGAAATAATGGCATATTTCATCAATAGAGAACACTTTTAGAAGGCTGGCGATGTGTCTTCCCAAGGAAGACCAAAGCTGCACATGATTAATGTGCTCAGCCTGTTTCCAGATTGATCTGAGGCAAAAAATTCAAAATACTAGATATTACCCATTAGCTTTCAAGTAGAATTAAGTATTTCAAAGTAGAAGTCAGGATTGCAAAGCGTTGATCTTACATTAATCATCGGATATATGGAAAATAGAAACATGTTTTCCAATGGTTTCTTTTATTTTGTTAGCGATCGTTATTGCTGAGGCATGTGTTGTGGGGTGTTTACAAATCTTTCATTTTGTGTTAACTATAGATTCACAGTTTTCTACACCCATGCTTACGCGCACCCATGCTAACATCTTCCAAAGCTGGTGTGTTTTAATTTCTTTTAGAATGTATGATCTGTACACCATGGAACGCACTCATTTAAATATCCAGAGTTTGGGCAGCTGTATAATCTCCATTCTATCGGGATGTAGAATGCATCCCTCTCCCACATTGTCTCTTTCTTCTAACCTCTGGGCCCACTTAGCTTCAACTGCTGTCAATATCTCTTCTTCTGTTATACAGTCTTTTAAATCTTACTCTACCAACTCCCTCTTTCAATCATTTTCTAACTACTTGTGGCAGCACCTCTATCAAAATAGGGAGCTTGTATTTCACTTTATTAGGTCACCAACTTGATCAGGTCCATCAAAAAGTGTTAGTTGAAATCATAAAGCACAATAGAACCTAGAATTTGTGCAAGTCCGGGGTTGTATATTCATGTATTTGCTAATGAGGTTGCATAGCATAATCTACCTTCTTACCTTGCCTTCTTATCTGCAGCCTTTTTATTTCCCAGTGTGCTTTGGAGACAGGTTCTCATGTCGCCTCATGCTTATTATAAGCAGAGGCAGTCTTTGCACTCTTGAATCTCCTGCCTCCACCTCCGAGAAACTGGACCTGTAGACCTTTGCCACAATACCCGATCTTACCTAGTACTTACAGATTTTACGGGTTCAAGTGTTGACTAAATCTGCTTTTAAGAAAGGTGTTACTAGGTGAACCTTGCGTCAGAGTGCATTTTCATTTTCTAGCTGTGGTCCAGGCCAAGAGTGACGCAATGGCCAGGATGTCAGCCAGCAGTCTCACTCTGCTGGCCGCTTAGCTATTCCTTCATCATTGTATGACATCATTACCTGCAAGGGGAGCCAAGCCCTCTCAGAGCAATTTATTAGTGACCATGAATGATTCTCTTACTTTTTGGCTTTAATTTGTGACCCTTTTATAACATTAATCCTGAATCTTATGAATTAACTACGATCAAACTATCAGTGTGCATTTTCGTTAGTATTATAAATAGCAGAGCCAGCATGAAACATTTTATTTAATAAGATTTCCTACCATTCAATAAGCCAAAGGATGCCAACATCACACTTCACAATGCTCATTATGTTAAATGGATATTTCCTGCCATTTTATGGAATAAATTCCTTTAGAGCACTGAAATCCAAAACTATGAGTCACCGTGACTAACCTGCACCTCACGGAAGCTATTCATCCTGCCCGGTACTGCTTCATCCTCTCCACGCACAGTAAGATTTTACTCGAATTTATTCCGTTTCACATTTTAACTTTTTGTAATACCAGTGAGTTAATACATTTTTAACCAGCATTTGGACATTTCACTTTTAAAACACATTTAATGAATCCCAACACAAGAAATTTAATTTTCTCTCTGACAAAATAGTGCTACCTTTATAAGCCACTAGTTATTTTACTTCTGTCAGTAGATATGTAAAATACAGTTAAAGAGAAAAAGGTTATGAGCCTATGGACATATACAGCTTTGTGGACGACACAGATATAATAAAAATAAGAGTCAGAAAATATAATATTTGACAGAGTAAAAGTGAAGAATTTTTTGAAGTTGAGGATATCGTGACTTTCTCTAAAAGATGCAGACTAAGAAAGTAAGCATAGGGATCCAACATAATAGTTTTGACAACCACCAAAGACAAAGGGCAGATCCTGCAAGTGCCGGAGAGACGGGTCCAGAAGAGTCAGGTGAAGTCGTGAGCAGCGGTAACCACAGATGAACCCAGAGGCTGGAATAGCACTTAGAAGTGCAGGTTGAAAACATACAACAAACCCACATTTTACAACTGTAGACAGACTTGACTTAACACCAGGAAGAATAAATAGTGTCCAAAGAAATTTGTGTCAAGATTATCACAAATGGGGTTTCTCCATTTTATAAATTGTGTTACACATGCTCACATAGTGGCCATTTTCATGCAAGTGTGTGGTATGCATGTAAGCCCCCACCCCAGTGCCCCCTGCTTTCCCCACTTCTGATTAAACTTGCTTTTTAAAATTGCTCTAATACACATGACACAAAGCAACTTGGAGAGAAAAGGGTTTATTCAGAGGCCCCTGTGGAAGGCTCCTGTCCTGTTCCCATTACTCTCCTACTTCTGATGTCTATCCTGTTTGTCCTTCTGAATGAGGAGTAAGCCTCTTCCCTAGGGTCCTTGTTATTTAGCTTCTTTAGGACTATAGATTTTAATATGTTCATCATCCTATATTATATGGCTAATATCCACTTATAAGTTAATATGTACCATGTATGTCTTTCTGCTCCTGGGTTACCTCACTCAGGATGATCTTTTCTAGTTCCATCCTTATGCTTACAAGTT